ATCCACTCACCTCAGTCTCCCAAAGGCGCGGGATTACAGGCTGAGCCACCGAACCTGGCTGAACTGAAGTTTTTATTATACATATTTTAATTAATGTACATTTAGTTGCATGTGTTCAGCAGCTGCCATTTTGGACATAGCAGATCTAGTGTCACCCTTATGTGATCTCACCTGGGCCCATGGCACCCACATTTTTGTCTCCAGCTCAGACTTCTCCTTTAAATGCCAACCCAATTTATCCATCTCCCCACTTGATTTCACCTGCATGTCTAATGGGCTTCTTGAACTGTTTTCTTCCCCTGAAACTGCGAAGCACTATAGAAATGCTAGCAGCTTTTATTGGCAATCGCAATTGCAAACCAGGAAACTGAAGCCAGGGAGGGAAGGCTCGTTGCCCAAGTTGCCCAGTAGGCTTGCAGGATGGAGCTCTTTCCCAGTCCCAAACTGGGCAGGCTTGATAGGGGACAAAACTTTACCCCAGGCTGTGGGTTCTTGACCTTCTTTTTCTTCCTGCTCAGAGCGCCAGCCACCAGGGCTGCATGCCTGCTCCACCAATGACAAGAAACTCACAGCCAAGTATCCACCAAGCAGGGACAAGATGGGAAGCCAACCAGAAGGAGCTGGAGAGGGGGCCCCCTGCCCAACCTCCTTTCCTCATGACAGCTCTTCCCCATTCCTCTGGAAGAACAGGAAGAGTCCCAACCCCTTGGCTTTCTTCCCCTGCCCACCTTCCACTCCCATCCACCTCCATGGGGAACGCCCATTCCACTTCCACCCCTTCTACCCTGGGTATCCACTTTTCCTGCCTCCACCCTACCTATTTACCTATGGGGCCCTATCTTCTGTACAATGTCCCTATCTCTTTATGCTGCCCCAAGATGCCTCCTACTCCACCATGGCTGTGCCCAGGTTGCTGATGATGGTCAATGAGAATGGGCACCATAGCACCCGAGGGGAGACCCTTCTTCCCTGCCTAGGTGTGTTCCAAGCCTCTGACCAAGCCCTGCCCTCCCAAGCCCAAAATCCAGGCCCTGGAGATGCCTCAACCTACTCCCCAGGGGTGCAGCGTACTGGAACGGTGGCTCCAGTAAAGCGGGCCCCACTGGGCTCCCGGGCAGGCATGGCAGCCCTGCCTTACCCATTGAAGAAAGAAAATGGCAAAATCCTGTACGAGTGCAACGTGTGTGGCAAGAGCTTTGGGCAGCTCTCCAACCTCAAGGTATCTGCCTCCTGGGCTCTGCTGCTCCCCTCAGCTTCCCTCAGTGTCCCCCCATTCATTTCATCCAGCTTCTATAAGCAAGGACTTCAAAGCTAGAAAGCATTCCTGGGAAGCCTCTGGGGCTGAGTGACTTGGGTGGTTCATTTGGATGGAGATACAGGATAAGATGGCTACCAAAGTCCTTGCCACCCTAGAATAGCGAATTTGACATCATCTCATTTAAGTTAAAAATGGGGAATCTGAAGTCCCTCAGTGGGCAGCATTTGCCTAAGGTTACTTTGATTAAATGGTGGTGTTAGACTTTGATTTCAGTCTCTCAACATCTAGTGCAAAGCCCTTTCCTGAACAATTGGATTTCCAGTTAAGCTTCTTCTTGATTTTTTGACAGTCAGATGGGGGAATGGCTAGAAGTTGGTAAGTCTAGACCACAGCCCTGATAACCAACCTTTTTCAAGTGGGATCCCACAAATCAGCACCTCACCATCCGCATCATCCACATCATCCAGCAGGGGCCGCACATGGGCGCATCTCTGTGTGTCAGCAAAGACCGGAAGCTATGCACACATTGGCTCGTGCTAAAGTTGAGAAAACATTATGGTTATTGGGGAGTAATCCTACTGGATTCCTCTAGGGCAGGAGTTTTTAGTTTTTATTTTTTGAGTTGGAGTCTCACTCTGTCGCCCAGGCTGGAGAGCAGTGGCACACTCACGGCCACTCCAGTGTTGACCAGTTGAACTCAGGCGATCTTTCCTCCTCAGCCTTCCAAGTAGCTGGAACTACAGGTACATGCTACCACGCCCGGCTAATTTTTTTATTTATTGTAGAGACAAGGTCTCGCCAAGTTGCCGGGACTGGTCTCGAACCCGCGGGCTCAGGCAATTCTCTCACCTCCACCTCCCAAAGTGCTGGGATTACTGACTTGAACCACCGTGCCCACGGGCAGGAGTTTTTAAACTTTAATGAGCCTCAAACCACCTGGAAAGCTAGTAAACATGCAAATTCCTAGGCACCAGCACCAGAGTTTATGATTCAGCTAGTCTGAGGTGGGGCCTGAGAATCTGCATATCCAACATGCTCCTAAGATGTGATACCGATGCTGCTGTTCTGTGGACCATACTCTGAGTAGCACTGCTCCAGGATATGCTTGGTGCACCTCTTACCTGACCTTCTGACCACTGCCATCTCTCCTAGAGGGCAGCAGAAAGAGTGGGAGTATTCTAGAGGGATGATAGGGAAACCCCAAGGGAGGTGGTAGGGAGACAAGGTGGTTGAGAGGCCTGGATGACAACCAACAAGGGGTCCTGCAGAGATGTGGGAAGAGATTTGAAAAGAGCCCAGGCCCTGGTGGGGGCTCTGGGCAGTTGGTAGCAATTATCCCTCACCTGGCTCAGGTCCACCTGCGTGTGCACAGCGGGGAGCGTCCGTTCCAGTGTGCCCTGTGCCAGAAGAGCTTCACCCAGCTCGCCCACCTGCAGAAGCACCACCTGGTGCACACTGGGGAGCGGCCCCATAAGTGCCTGGTGAGATTCTCCTCCCCCTTCCCTGTGCTCCTGCAGGCTGGTGAGGAGTTCTAGGCCCCTGGAGGGAAGTGGCAACTGCAGCCTCCATTCCTCAGTCTCACTATGAGGCTAGGCATTAACAGTCATATGTTCCCCATTGGAGAGGAAGGCTCAGAAAGAAGTCACTTATACAAGGTCACACAGGGAATAAAAGAAGGACACTAACCCAAGTCTGCCTGGCTCAAATGCTAGATACTGTGGGTGCCAAGGAGAGATCATTGGGAAAAGCTTCCAGGCAGCATGGACAGGAAGGTGGGATGGGGAGCAGAGTCCCTGAGCCAGCCTGGAGGGCAGAGCTGATGTCTGTTTCTGTCAGGTGTGTCACAAGCGCTTCAGCAGCTCCAGCAACCTCAAGACCCACCTGCGCCTGCACTCAGGGGCCCGGCCCTTCCAGTGCAGTGTCTGCCCAAGTCGCTCCACCCAGCATGTTCACCTGAAGCTGCACCATCAGCTGCACACCACACAGCGCTGTGACCTGGCTCACACCCACCTGCCCCTGGCCTCTCTGGCCTGCCTTGCACAGTGGCACCAGGGGGCACTAGATCATCTGGCCGCATCATCGGAGAAACGGATGAGCTGGGACGTAGACAAGGTCAAGGTGTCCTTGGCATCCCAGGGAAAGGAAAGGCAGCCAGCCTGAATGGTGGTGCGGGGACTACCCTGAGGAGGGGGACGGGCACAGAACAATTAAAGCATTTTTCTCTCTGACAAACTGAGGCCTCCTGAGCATCAACAGCAGAGGGGGAAGCCACCGTGTATTTGCCAGACCTCACACTCCACGTGGAAGCAAGTCAGGGGACACAGCCAGGAAGACCCTGTGCTGCTGGTGCATGGGGTGGGTGCCTGCAGACATCCATCTCAGACTGTTTTGGGTTCCACTCCCTGTCTGGAGCCAGGACTTCCACCTCAATTCACCCATGGACAGTCTAGCCTTCCAGGATGCTGCATGGTGCAGACTGCTGCCCAGCATGGGCACACTGCTCTGCTCCTGAACATCTTTCCCAACACCTGTCCAGAGGTATCCCTGCTGCTTCCCACTGCCTTCTGGCCTCACAGTTCCTACCTGGCCACATGCCCCCCCCCCAGCCGGTACTCCCTGCCATGGTCAGGTGGGGTGTATTCCTCCCTGTAGGGGTAGTGAGGAGGGTGACAAGGTATCAGCATCCAGTCATAACCCAGAGCATGATGTCCTCTGTGTGGCAGGACCAGTTTACTACAGAGGGCAAAGGCTAACGGGGCGCCAAGCTCAAAGAAAGGGCCATTTTTAAATTAACAGCTATTTTAAAATAAGGCAATAATTTTCGAACAGAGTTGGGGTTCTCGCCCGACTTCCAGCAGGGGGCGCCGTTCGCAACCCTGTGGTTTTCTATGCTGCTTCCCCACCGTGGTGCTGAAGGGGATTCCCGCTCTGTCACCAGGACAGAGTGAAAGTCCTCATAGGGAACCCAGCATGGCAGAGAGGTGGCAGGGTCGGCTTCGGCCCTTCCAGTAACCAAGGTCCGGGTTCCAGGAAACCCACCACCATTGCACCTTGAGCCCCGCCCATTCGACAAGACCACGCCCATTCCCGACCCCCCCCCCCCGCTCCGCCCTCGTGCTCTTAGCTCTTCGTGCACCTGGAGGGAGGGATGCCCCGTGGCTCAGCCCCGCTTTCCCGCCCCTGCTCGCCCCAGGACCCTCTTTTCCCGCCCCACGTCGTACAGGTCCAGCTCACCCGCTAGCGCACCGGGTGGGCCCTGGCGCCTCAGAAGCCTGAAGAAGCAGCGCAAATAGGGCGGAGAGCAAGGGTTGGGGGTGCGGCATGGGCTCAGTCTGAGCGTCAGGGGGCTGCGGTCCCGAGTGGGAGTGGTGCCCTCCAGAGCGCACGCCCGGCCGCTGGACTCGCGCAGCATCTGGGTCGGATCCCCGCCTGCACGGGCGGCGGGTGGGGCCGCTGTTTGCTCAGCGGGGCGGGCCGGGGAAGGCGTTTCTCCGCAAATGCAGCGGATCCGGGTGCCCCGACGGCCCAAGTCCCGGGCCTTGCTCTCGCCATGGCTCAGCGACGCGGGGGCCTCGGGGCTCGCCTGGCCCGCATCTTGGCCGGATTAGGGGTCCGGAGGGAGCGCAAGGGGACGGAGACCTCGGAGGAGGCCAGATTCCAGGATAGGTGAGGGGATATGGAGAAAGGCCGGGTGGGGCGCCCCTGGGCCTTCGGAGTGTGTGCGTGTGTGCGCGCGCGTTAGAGAGTAGCGATTGATTAAATAAGTGTGCATGAGTATCTTGAAGCATAAAAATATATGCGTCCGTGCAGCACTATTTTGGGTGTGAATGTGGAACGGTCCCTGTACTCTTTTAAAACTTTAAAACAACATTTACTATTTTCAAAGCAGGCAGGTGGCCTGCAGACACCGATTTCCTCTCCAGAGACAGTTTTAAAGGCAAAGGTAGTAGTTCCTCCCTCCCCTGTGGACTTTGATTCTCACATCATAAGCCAATGTCTTCCTGTCCCTATGTCATTGGTATTACAGGTTCTGGCTATCTTTTGCCCTTAGATGCCACGGAGTGGTTTTCCTGTCATCCCTGCACCTGGAGATAGCTCTAGACTGTAATAACAATAAACCTTTATTTGCCACTTGCTTCATGCTTTACCTGGATTATCTTGTGTAATCCTCACAGCAGCCCTATGAAGCAAGCATTCCCTGTGACTCAGATACAGAGGTTCAGAGTGGTGAAGTCACCTGCTCAAAGTCACACAGCTGGGAAATGGTGGAGCCAAGGCACAGGATTAGGCTGTCTAACTCCAGAGCCCACATCCTGAAGCTCTGTTGCCTGCAGAGGCTGTCAAACTGCAAGCTGGGGGCAGCTCCTGACCCGAGGTGCCATTAGTCGCGTGCTCAAGTAGACTGCTTCACCTCTCTGAGCCCCACCGGTAGCTGATGTCAGTGGAAGGAAAAACCACTGTAAATGGCCAGCTGAAAGGCTGGGAGGGCAATAGTGAAAATTCAAGAGAGCCCTAGTAGCTCACAGGCCCTAAATCCGTGAAAAGCATGGAGTGTGCTCTCAGGCATGGGTGTTTGTGTGTCTAAACAGTTACCTGGCAATTTGTTCTGATCTTATCGTGGCACAGCTGTCTTCAGCCCACCCCAGGAGGGGTGGGAGTGTGGTGGGGGTAGATGAAGGGAGGGGTTCATACTGCTCACTCACCATGAAGAGAGAGAAGAGGGGAAGGGTGGGGAGGGCCTAGCCACCCTATGCCTAGAAGCCTGGGTGCCCTCAGGTGCCCACACCCTGCCAGTGCCCTGCCCACCTCCTCCTGGAAGACACACCCTCCCCCTTTCCCCTGTCTGGCAGAAACCTGCCCTATAGGCCCAGGCGGGTGTCCCTCCCTGTTTGGACTGGGAGAGGAGGTGGGGTCGGGGGTGCCGGTGAGTCAGGCATGCTGGGGGTGAGTTTCGTAGGCTCCTGGCTGGGCCAGCGTGATGACACATGCCATACATGCATTTGCGCTCAGTTCGCAACAGCTACAGGAAAGAGATCCCAGCACTAGGCGCAGGCCTCTGATCCCTGCTGGGGGGTTAGGGGGTGAGTGAGTACACAGAGGAGGAGCCAAGACACTTCCCCATCTGGCCCCCATTAGTGCTGTGATATCCAGCCAACCTGTAGAGTGGAGTCTTAACTCCAGGAGTTCTAACCTCAAGGCTCACTTGCTCTGAGACTCTGAGCAAGTTACTTCACTTCTCTGGGCCTCAGTTTCCTTATCTGAAAAATCCACCTTCTAGGATTGTTATGTAGGCACAATACCTAGTGCTACCCCTGGCACACAGGAGGGCCTTTGCAGATGGAAGCTTTCACATCACTGGAGCACTATCCTCTCTCTGTATTCTAGTCCTGATGCAGGCCCAGTCACCATTCTAGATCCAAGCCCATTCCTGTCTCTTTTTCTGCCTCTAGGGTTGGAGTGGACAGAGGGGTGGGAGCAGAGAGGAGGATGCCACACAGACCTTCCCTGAAATGTTTTAGGAGCTCATTATGCCTGGCAGTGGGCCCTGAGGAGAGGTCAGGGAGGCGGTTGCTGTGTCCTGTCTGGGGGTGATGGTGTTGGGACAGAAGAAGGCCACTTCATTCTCTTCTGCTTCCTTCCCAGGCCTTGGGGTGGCCAGAGCTGCCCTGACCTGGCCCAGGGCCAAGGCAGCATCAGCAATGTCAGCCTCAAGGTAGGAGAGAATTCAAAGGGGAAGAAGGTGGGGCAGAAGCTCTGGGAGAGCTGGGCAGGCCCTGAGAACCCTGACTGACAAGTCAGACAACTGGAATTCCAGTCCTCACTCTGCCACTGACCCACTGTGTGACCCTGGGCAGATCACTCCCCACCCTGAGCCTCAATGTCCCCATCTGCAAAATGCCTCTTGCTCAGGGTTGTTGTGAGAATAAAGTAATGGATGTGAAACATCCAGCCAGGATGGGGCCTGGACTCTCAGGAAATGTGACTTCCTAATGCTGCGGTTCCTAATAGGGCAGAGCCTGTTCCCAGGATGCTTTTCTCTCCATTCCCTTCTTTGACCTGACCTCCTCCCATCTTTGGTCCCTTTTCCCCACTTCCTGGCATGGCCCCCCAGGGTTGATGCAGGACCAGTGGCTCAACCTTCTGCCACCATTTCCCCATCAGCAGTTGGGACCTGAGCCATGAATTGACAGGGTGTCCTTCCTTGGAGGAGCAGAGGGCAGCCTCCTCTGGAAGTGGTTCAAGCAGCCACGTGTCTCTCTTGGGTTCTGAATACCATGTAACTGACACTTCTAACATGTCAGGCCCTCTGCATGGATTATCTTGTACAATCTGCACCACAATTCCAGGAGGCAGGTACTGTTATTATCATACCCATCTTCCACATGGGGAAACTGAGATGCAACCAGTATTGCAGCTAGGAAGTGGCAGAGCTGGGGTTCAAGTCTAGGTTGCCTTGATCTAGACCCCAAATTAATCACTGCATACTTGTCTCTTGAGATATTCAGCCCCTGGGGAATAAGAGGCTGCATCTATATCACAACTGAGTGATTAAGGCATTTGGGGTCAAGGACCCCTGCTGGGAGGAATTCTAACCCCAAATTTGGCTCCTCTGTTGCCAAGAACATAGCCCATTCATTAAAGTGGTGGTTTGGAGAGCAGTGTCCGTATGGGTCTGGGGTGCTGAGCCCTCTCTCCTTGTCCTCACAATCAGACTGGACCCCAGGGGAAGAGAGCAGAGGTCAGAGGTCAGGTGCCATCCTACATTCAGGGAACCCTCTTCCCTGACTCCCTCATGTCCCAAATACATCTCTAAGCTCAGGTACCTCTTCCCAGGTGTGCCATGGGAATTTTTTTTTTTTTTTTTTTTGGAGTTGGAGTCTCACTCTGTCGCCCAGACTGGAGTGCAGTGGCTGCTCCCGGCCACCGCAACCTCGACCTGCTGGGCTCCAGGGATCCTTCCGCCTCAGCCTTCCAAGTAGCTGGAACTACAGGCGTGTGCTACCACACCCAGCTAATTTTTTGATTTATTGTAGAGATGAGGTCTCGCTGCCCAGGTCTCGAACCCATGGGCTCAGGCAATCCACTCACCTCAGCCTCCCAAGGTGCGGGATTATAGGCTGAGCCACCGAGCCTGGCTTCCATGGGAATCTTAAGGTGGGAAGGTACAAGGGAGGTGGCTCCAGGCTCTCCAGTATCCTGGAGTAGACAGAGATCATGGGCACTTGA